TAAAAGTAATCATGACATGTGTTATTAATATTGAAAATTAAATTATATATTCTAATTTCAGGTAATGGTTAAATTTTATTTTATTTTTATTATCAATGTTTTTTTAGTTGTACAATAAAAAATTTAAATACTTAATTATTAAATGTTATATTATTAACTAGACTACAATATATAAATAATAATATTTCATTATGTATTCCAAAAAAAACATAGAATTTTTTTATAGTTATTTTATTGTCAAACTTAGTTAAATTGTTAGTTACATTAAAATTAATTGTAAAATTATTTTATTTAATCTTTTTACATATGAAGCGGATCGGGTCGGATTAGGACCAGGTAAAACTCAACTTTAAAAATTCGGGTTACCCGTTTACTTGACGAATAACTAATGACCCGTCGGGTAAAACCCAACTCGAACCCGAAGATCAATAGTTGGCTAACGAGTAGAGTTTGAGTAGGGTAACTTGTATGAGGGTCGGGTTCGAGTTTGCCAAAACCCGCCCGACAACCCATTTACATCCCTAGTTTTGTGCTTTTTTTTATATATATATATATATATATATTTTGTGCCGAGACATCCCTAGTTCTTAATACTAGTACAGTCCCCGTGCGATGCACAGGGGTTTATTATCTTCGTCCATTTTATAAAGCAATGTTCAGTTAAAATCAAAGTACTTACTAAAGGAAAGATCATGTCATTAATAATAAATAAATTAATAAATACAATGATAATAAAATCTATATATTATTGAACACTTCCTTATATACAACGTTCATGGTTTGATTCTTTGGCACGTCATCGTCGCCACAAATTAGGACTTTCAAACCCATTCTGTTTGTGACACAAGAGACAGCAATATACAATTGACTATGACTAAACAATGGTTTCTTAAGAAATAAGCCCACATGCGATAATGATTGTTCCTGTCTCTTATTTATAGTAATGGCGTAAGAAAACATAATGGAAAACAATCAATCTAATAACATCTACAAAAATATAAGAAAATGCATCATATTGAAATGTATAACATATAAAATAGTTTATTACAGATTTTAAATTAAACAGAATCGAAATTAGAAATAAACAAAAAAATTATAACGTACCAAACAACATGACTTCATCAATGTTACGAACATCCATTAAAGTTAGAAATGAGAAAATCACCCCTCCATTTGATAATCTTGGTTTGACCATTGATAATGATCCTCCTTTTTTCTATCGTCGATTTATGGATGCCAATATTGCTTTCCACTTGATAGTTTGTCAAGATATAAGCGTCACCTTCTTCAATATCACCGATGATTTTTTGGATATTGACAGGTCGAATTATGCCAGTAATTCGTCCTCCCTAAAACATTGCATAATGAGTAATTTAATAAATAAATTATAAAAGATGTTGCATAAATTGATGCATTTAAATAATACTAAATGAATATATTATCTCAAAATCATGAAAGATAATCTCAAGAACATTTCGGTAATTGCGTACGTCTTCAACTCGTTGGAACATCCTAATTATGCGTAGCTTGATTGGTGGCTTATTAGATCTTTTGATATCTTTGATTACTCCAAAATCCGAAGTCATTTTCAATGGTGATGTAATGTAAAAGCTTGTAGAAAAATTTATTTTGTGGGATATATTGGATGTTGAATACTTTTTGTTCAACGTTGGTGATGTTTATATAGTCATGTGTATGTGACATATGTCTGGGAAATAAAAAAAAATATTTACATAAGGTATTTAATATGATCCGATCCGTTTTTTTTTTATTATGATTATGATTGACTTATAAAAATATGTGTTATCGGTTTTGTTAAAAAAAAAATGTGGAACGTGATTCACTTGCGAGGGACAAACGAATATTTAGAAGATTATGTAGCAAAAAATAATGGAGTTTGTTACAATGAAATTTGGTAAGACTTTTTGGATAGATAGAAAAATAATATTTTTATTTTTATATTTTCCTATTTATTTGGACAAATCCAAAACTTTAATTTACGAAATTATAATCTTTAATTTTTTGAAACGTGTCAAATTTTTTAAGATAACTTCTATAAAACAAAATGTGATCAAATCATAATTGATTTTTATGCCTCAATATTCCAAATCATATGGTATGATTTACTATTAATATTTTATTTTTTCAAACGTCTGATTCTCTTAGGTTTATATGAAACAAAGTTCAATCAAATCAAAATTGATTTTTATGCCCACACTAAATCTTTATCAATATGATATGTTTATTTTATTTATTTATTTTTTTTCAAATCCACAACTCAAATTTTCGAGAGAGAGAAAAAAAAAATCTTATCAAACCTTATCAAATTTTCGAGAGAGGAAAAAAAAATTGGAAACAAAATCTTATCAAACCTTATCAATAATGAAGATACGTGTTTCCATGAAAAGCTAACAAAATCCCGTAGTTACCAAAATCCTATCAAATTAGTTAACAAAATTGGTTAACAATATTGGAACGCATTTTGTTAGGAAAGATTTACGTAATTTATCTATCTAATTAATACTCATATTAACGTGTGGGCCTAGTGATATTAATTTAGTATAGCATCCATTATCTCGGAATAATTTTTTGTTTGATTTACAACATTAATTTGAATGAAAAAAAAAAGAATCCGTAATTGTTGAGATATCTCAATTCAAAATCTCAATTTTTTGGCATAAGAATCTTCAAGTTTGTTACCAATAAAAATAGATTCCTATGGGATTAATATTTAAAATAAATTAAATTTTGGTTTAAGAATCTCTAAATTTGTTACCATAAGAATCTTCAATTTGTTACCATAAGAAACCCATAAAAATTTCCTATGGATTGGAGTTTATCAATATTTAGTATAACATCCATTATTCTCGGAATAATTTTTGTTTGATTTACAACATGAATTTGAAGGGGAAAAAATCCGAAATTGTTATGATATCTCAATTCAAAATCTCAATTTTTTGGCATAAGAATATCCAATTTGTTACCATAAGAATCCCATAGAAATCTCCTATGGGGTTGGAGTTTATCAATAGTTGGTATAACATCCATTATTTTTGGAATAATTTTTTTTTATTTACAACATTAATTTGAATGGAAAAAAATACATAATTGTTGGAATATCTCAATTCAAAATCTCAATGTTTTGGCATAACAATCTTCAAATTTGTTACCAATAAAAGTAGATTCTTATGGATTAATATTTAAAATGAATTAAATTTTGGTTAGGAATTTCCAAATTTGTTACCATAAAAATCTCCAATTTTTTTGAGGATATCTCAATTAAATTTGTTACCATAAAAATTTCCAAATTTGTTACCATAAAAATCTCAATTTTTTTAGTACATGTATTTTTTTCAAAATTTCCATTAATAGTAAGTCAAATCATTTATTCTTTTAGTCAAACTTATTATAAAAGTATTTTTCCACCAGCCTCTTTATATTACTATAGATTATAATTATGTTTGGGGAAAAAAAAAGAAGAATGGGACGAAAATACAAAATACAAAAGAAAAATGAAAAAGAAAATAAACAAAAGGGAGCTGCAATATTGGCGAAGGCAAAGGCAGACGGTATATGGACGCTACGACTTCAGCGGGCCTCCGGCCGCCACAGGCAAAGAAGCGGCGGCGTGCCTCTCCAACTGCCGTAGACGCTATAGGAAATGATGTTCTGTGCATGATTTTCGCTTTTCTCGACCTCGTCCAGCTTATTCGTTGCTCTGCTGTCTGCAAATCATGGTACATCTCCATTTTTTACATTCTAATTACTTATTATGTTAGAATTAAGATGGGAAAATGAACTATTATCCTAACCTCCTGTGCACCTTGCTTTGCTTGACTTAAAAATCTTTTAGTGCGTGCAAATAGGCGGATTCTTGTTCCTATGCAGCTACAATGATGGTTTGTTTAGACTACGTGTAATTCGTAATTTTGGCTCAAAAGCGTTTAATTGAATCATTTTACTTCTCAAGTCTTGTATGCTACTTGAAAAAATTTGATATGCAGTAACTGAACCATTTGTTTCCTCCCATCTTTAATTGGCAAAGGAAAACAGTGATTAATAAACTGAAGTTGCTGCAAATACAATATCACAATCAACACCCAACAAGTTCTGGGGGAGGCAATGATTTGCCTAGATTTTCAGAAAGATCAATAAATATACAGATGGAGCAGTTAGCCATGGATCGGCAAAGGTCGTCTTTGCAAGAAGGTGAAATTGATATTTCTCAATGGAAAGCTCACGCGGTAGGGTAATTCCTTTTGCCTCTGTCAGCTTGTCAATATTTAGTATCTAACCAGTTTGCATTGATTCAAACATACAGACTTCACTATCTGCAATACACATACTAAGTACCAGGCCAGCTGCAAATGCATTTTGACTTTATTATATAATTCAATTACTTGCTGCTTGAACTTCTTCAATTTTCAGTGTGCTGACTGTACCTTAAGCATCTATAAATAAGGGAAACACAAATGCCACTCGAGAACATGAAACTTACTTCAAATGTTCCTGTTATTCTACTCTTTTATTGAAAATGATCCTTAAATTATCAGAACTTTGAAGAATGAGCACGGTTTACTAATTTCTCAATTTTGTCCAAATTGGTTCTGTTATTGCTTCATTAAGGTTGAACTTATTGTGGATCTAGTAGGACTAGACAACCAAAGCTTTCCTCTGCCAATTACGGTTATAGGGTTAGATTTCTATTTGATTGTGGGTCAAGTTGAATGTGCAATTTTCTATATGACTTCTTCACCCTGGTTTCCTCTTAGGTTTAACAAGTGCAGGATGAAGATGGGTTTGATTCTTTCTGGTGTGGGAGATAAGGTCGGATGTCAGAAGCATTCACTCTTTTAGCTGTTGAATGACTATTAGCAAATCAAATGTTGTGTGCAATTTTCCTCTCCTCTTTTTCTTCGTCGAGTTATTTAATCACGTTTCAGGGGCTTCCAATTTTCATGTTATATTCTTATTTTTCTAACCTCTAAACTAATATATGAAATGGTTAGACAACCGGTTAGTCAAGACAACTGGTTAGTCAAGGAAGAATATGGCACCTTGTATAATATATATTTGTAACATAAGTTTACTTATTGAACATATGAAAATACTGGTAGTCTGTAATAGAAGTAATTTGTTCTGTTGTTCTTAATGCTGTTCTATGAGCCCCAATTGTTTTCCTACATTCCGGCTGATGGAAGGTAGAGGTATTGCCTCAAACTTTGGTAGACTTTGTCATGCTACCAGTATACCATGCTATTATACTTTTACGAAACCAGTAATGGTCTTGTTTTAAAAATATTTGCTTCTTTGTTAGTAAATAGTTTTTCATGGAGTTGAGTGTACGCTTCTTAAGTCTAGTACCAAAAGAAAAGAACAAATTAATCCAACATGTTTCTTTTCGTGAAATTTATTTCACTATATTCAACCTGTTTTGGAAAGATATAGTCCCATACAGAATCCTTTGTTTTTCCCACAAAAAATGCTTCTTAATTCATATGTGACATTTGATACACCAAAATATCTTTCTCTAATGGAATTTCAAATTATCCAATTAATTGATCAAATTTGCAGGCTAATGGTTTTCCAACACAAAACACTAACCTAAATCCGCAGATCAGTGGTAATCTGTGGGCAGTCGCACTATTTTACAGAGATATATGATTATGCTCCACTGTATCCAAGTTCTAGTTCAATTATTTGGTGTTCTCTGTGACAGTATACTCTTGTGTTAATGTGCAGCTACAAAATTGATTTTCCAATACTTTTTGGCTCTCAGCATAATGTGAAATTGTTATTTTGTTTCTTGCATAATACATGAACATTTCTTCTTTCACTTCTTGATTAGTTTAGTTGAATGTACCTGTTACGTTCCACCAATAGTGATGAGAGCTCATATATTTATCAGATGCGAGTCCCCCAGCATGTGTGTGTGTGTGTGTGAGTTGTCGTACTCGTCTCCATTGCATGCTATTGGGGACTGTTAGTTCATAATTCTTTGATAATACTGATTACTGCGAAAAATGGTAGGTAATGCGTCTCTGGTCTGCCGAGAGTTGTAAAAGACTGGATGAATATTTTCTACCCGATAAAGCTCCACTAATTGATTTTGATTTTGATGAGGGAAAGGTAATGATGAACTCTTTGGTACTTTCAGTTTGTTTCTCTGTGTGTTGCACAATCTATTTTATTATGCCGATATTATCTTCTCAATCCTGCAAGAAAAAGAAATGGTACAGTTAGCATGTTTGAAATTCTTATTTGTGAAATACATAACTGAAAGAATCGTGTAAGTCCCAATATTCTATGATTAATTGGTCTTTAGTGTGGAAAGATTCTTCAGTATGATCTAAACTACATATAACTTTGGCTTTCTTCGCTCGTGTATTCTAGGTTGTTGGTCTTTTGGGGACTCGTATATGTATATGGAGGCGCGTTGGTAAGAGAGAGATAATTTCATCACTCGAAGGCTTGTTTACTAGGGGAATGTGCATGAGGTGGGTGAGGTTCTAGTTGTGAGATTTTCTGTTCAAACTCTGTCTTTAAGAGACAAATTTATTATTCATGTCTAAAATGCAGTTATTTTTCCCAGTTTCGTTGAATTTTTGCAACAAATATCCAAAAGTGGGTTGTGAATTATTTCCTCTATCTTTACATATAATCCATTGGACACCTCATGCTTCTATTTATGTTGAAATTTGTCTCCGAGTTAAACTGTGTTGATACCATGAGGGACAGTATTATTATAGGTGAGCCTACTAAGTTGGTGTTGTAGCTGCACGTGCCATGATTTTGTGTAATTAGTTTTTAACTTTTAATTCTATATGCATTGCTGACATTATTTCAACATGTGTGACATACTTTTGGCTGAGTAAACCAACTTCAATATTCCCATCTTTTGCAGTTACGTGGACCCACTGGCAGTGGTTGGGTGTGAAGATGGGAAAGTCCGTGTATTTGATATGTACAGCAGAAAGATTTCGCAGATAATCAAGTATACAACTTCCTTTCATTTTTTTTTTTGCGCATTATTTTAGTATGCAATCTTTGCTTGCATGTTTCCTTCTCCATTGATTAGTGCTGTAGTTCATAACTTGTTCTCACTTGTTGGTTTCCACATAGATACTGCATAACACAAATACCTTATACAGTACAACCTTCTTTTCTATATACCTTCATTTTGGCGTTGTTATTGCAGGATGCATCCTGGGGCAGTATCATGTTTATCTTTCACAGACGAGCAATTAATTGTTAGTGGTTCATCTCATGGTACTATTTCAATATCAGATCTTTCATCTGATCAGCGGGTCATCACCTTGGACACAACTACTTCTGCAGGTTTGTTGATATGAAGCATTGTGGTCCTTTCTTCTATGTTAAAAAAGTTCTAATGATAACAATTACTTTGCAGCTGTTAGTACCCATCTTTATTCATGTTTTTGCCACCTTTATTCTGTAGCAGGCATAAAAACTTTATGTGTGAACCCAAGCTCATATAAACTGTTTGCTGGATCAAGTACAGGCCATGCATCTTGTTGGGAGCTGAGGTACACGTACTAAGTACTAAGACATCCTTCTTGTATCTTTCCTCTTTGGCTTTGTGTCCTCTCTAAACGCCTGTTTTTGAATTTGATAAAGTTTTTAACTGCCTAATTTAGAGTTTGCAAAATTTAACCATGTCGAAACATAGCTTATAGTACGATTCAGAGGCAATTATTACAAATATATTTCCTATGCCTAAACAACATAAATCTGTAGAATGTAAATTTTGTTGTGACTTTTATCAGGCAACAAGACCTAAGTTGAAACAATGATGTGACAGGCTATCAAATTGTAAATTATTATATTCTGTTTCTGGAGATAAAAGTAATTGCCATATGTTGAATTTAGTATACATTCCATGAATTCCATAGCATGTGTGTGGGTGGTTGATTCTGGCTGTCACTATCATGACAAAAGGAAAAGGAAATAAAACAAAGGATGGAGTTATTAATGATACGCCTTTTCGTTCAGAACATCAAGAAGACTATGGGAAACACGAGCAAGCCCCAATGTGCTTTACTCCATGCATCACTTGGCGAATGATAAATCAACATTGGTTGTTGGTGGAATAGACGGCGTTTTAAGAGTCATTGACCAAGACACTGGAAATATATTGTCCCGATGCATCATGTCAGAAAATAGCAACAAACGTGTAGTGGTAAATAATGTAGTTACTGAGAAAAAGAAAGGAATGAGGCTTTTGGAAAATGACCGTATTGACCTCATGCCAAATCGACCCCCCATAACATGCTTGGCTGTTGGGATGCAGAAAGTTGTTACCACACATGGGGACAAAAACATCCAAGTGTGGAAGTTTGACTGTGAAAGTGACAAGGGGTGATGTTGTTACCTTACTGCATAGGTTTATTGTATTTGTCAATAAAGAAAACTTATTTAATCTTCTCTTTTGGCTTTCCATGGAGCCCGAGCAAGAAACAAGTCATTGCACTATACTCAACTCCATTAATACTTGTGTTTTACGTGTTATACTTACGTATTTATTCATGTAATAGTTTTGTTGATCATGAGGTTTGAGTTGTTTTGACCCTGTGACTGATATACTGGATACTGATAAGAATCATGTGTAGAACATGTGGTTTAGTTTTGTCCTAGCATTTTGTCACAGTTTGCTCATCTATTTTTTATAATGATGGCCGGGATAGACTTCGTCTGTTTATATGACAGTGGTTATATCCATGGATAACTTTGAATTGATAGGATTTCTAACAGTGGTTGATTAAGGGTGTTTTGTTCTAGTTAAGTAGGTAATGATTCTCAAGTCCGATTGAACAGTGTGAAATTAAAGTGGAAACAAGGTTGCTACTGTAATTTTGCAACAACTGTTTGGGGTTTAGGGGCAAGTTTCGTTGGACCAACTGTAACACGGCACATAGATATGCTCGTTTTTGTTTTATTGAGAATCTGACCGACAGAAGAAGCTTCACGGTTGAACAAAGAGAAGGCACAAGTAATGTCTTTGCAAAGAACATAAATAACTCGGAAAAAGAAAAAGTTTCACTTTGTCATATCAATAGTTCACCCCTAATAACAAACTCAGTTACGACGGTGTAGATCACGTCGACATAGTTTAGGAGCGTACACAGAGCTCTAATACAAACTACCAACTAACGCACAACGAATTGAACAAACAACCAACACATGCAAATATAATCTTTGCAGAGAATATCAATAATTCAAAAAAAAATAAAAAAAAAATCTCTTCATATCAATAATCCACTCCTAATGACTGTCATATTTCATAGATGATATATTTATACTTGAAATAACCTTGTCCAACAAGGAATAAATACTAGTAATAATAACTATCCTAAATAAAAAATAAATAAAAAATCTAATTTAAATAAAATATTTTCTAATCTCCATCAGAACCTTAAGTAAGAACACAATGAAGAAATCTGACATAATCCAAGGATGAACAACTCCCATTCCCTATATACACGAACAACAATCATAGCATTACGTTTTCAAGGGAATGAAATTGGCTGGTCATATTAAAAGAAAAAGGCACCAAATATTTTTTATAGTTCAAAAACGACACTATTCTTACACAATCAAAGGACAAAACTGTGTCACCACTACACAAAAAACAACTTTATGTTCAAGGTGAAACCTACTTCTTGGCATCAGTTGATGAACCTATCTGTGTCTTAACAATACTCAGCTGTCCACCATCTTTATTAGCAACTGTTGCGGCTTTTATCTCATTGCACTGGTTTATGAACTTACTGAGCTCCTGATCCACCAAAATAAAATAAAACAGTTGGCAGTTAGCAGTCGTATTCATATAAGCACGGGAAATCAAACATGGAAGCATAAAAAAATCCAGCTTATTTTTTGAAAAACTAGCCTGATTGCTCAGGTCCAATTGATCAATTAATAAAAGATGTCTAACATAAAGACAGTCATTCTCTAAGTTAGTTCAACAACAATTAAGATTCAGATAAAAACATGGTAACTCGCACAAAACATAATCCCTAGTTAAGGGAAGTTCTCTGCCATATATAGTTCTGTTATGTTCTGTTCCGACTCTTCTCCATAGCCCGTAAAATTCATAATGAAAAATCGTTTGGATTCATAACTCATATCTGAATAACCAATTTTCTGAATGATACTACAAGCAACATGAACATTATTTGAAAGTCAATGTTTAAAATATCGGGGGTCACGTATTCACTAGAAATAAAATTAGTACTTTGCACTCAAGCTGATTATGTTGATAATCACAAACTCCAATGACTCAGATCAAGACACGATATTAGATTTTGTCAAACAAAGATATTTATAGCTTTAACTTTGGTACAGAACCAAAGATTTTTATAAACCTATAGAATTCAACAATGAAAGAACATTAAGTTATACTGATACTTGTAAATGCGGATGTAATCAGCAAAACAGGAAATTCTGATAGCAAATATACACCTACAAAAATATCTGCACACTCGAGAGCATCTGAATTTTTTACTACAGGATATCAGTAAAATTCAAAGAAAACAAAAAAAAGTGAGCAAAGTAATCTCTTATCTTCAACAGCTGCACATTCTACGGGAAGATATAAAGCTTTTACAAGCTTAAATCAAATCAATATCGAATGCCACTAATACCAGAAACAGCATATAACACCCATAGCAACATATAACACCCATAGCAATAACTGCGTGAACTTATTTTCACAACAAAAGAAAATATGAAAAGAAAAACCCAGCTCGATACCAAATCAAAACTCATTCATACCTTTTCTGTCTCCATCTCTTTAGTCACCTTCGATGGCTTCACCACTCTCTTCCCTTCAAATTCCAAAAACGAATTAACATCAGATTTATTGGGTATGCACATCTGTGAGTTCAAACGCTAGTGTGGTTTATGATGCGAATCACCTTTTCGCGTGTGATTGACTTTGCCATGTCGATTGGGAGGAATTGATTTCTTTTTCTGCTGTCCTTTGAACAGATTTCCCTTCTGCGTCATTTTCGTGTAGTCTCGTGGTTCGGATTTAGGTTTTATCAGTTTTTCTTTTTGTTCAGCTCTAGGGTTTCTGTGACGACAATTGAAGGGAGATATAAATTATTACTTGTGAACGGTTTGGCTAGCCGGTCCACACCTTAATTATGAGAGAAACAAAAAATAATAGTGGCATACGTTTTTAATAAATTTTACAGAGTTTACTGTTGAGTATCTTACTTTAGAAAAATATAAATATATTTATATCTGAGGAGATAAAACAAAAAAATATTATGAACATTTTTACATACTATTTTTGTAGATTTCATAAATATATGTATTAATTGCTCATATATAGATTTTCCAAATCAAATACATCGGATATGATAAAAAAGATTCTTTCGTTGAATAATTTTATTAATATTAGCAATAATTTCATTAATATTCATTATAATAAATTAAAAATTAATTATTCATGATTAATGTTGATAATATTTTGATCAAGATAAACATAAAAATAGATTTTAATTTTTAATCATAATATTAATTTTTTAAAAAAATACTGATTTTTCATCCTAAAATATTTATAGAAAATCTTAATAGGTTATGTATTTTTTTTTCTTCGAATTAATCAGGTCACATCACGTTGTTGAATTAATATTCGTCAACATAATTTTTATTAGTTTTATTTAATTATATAAAAAAATAATTATTCAAATGAATACAATTTACCATTTAAAAGATAATGACTAGATACATTAATAGTTTTACTAGTGATCAAATAATAAAATAAAATATATTAAATCTTTTTTAGAATTTTAATATTTATTTGTATATTATTGTCAACCATGATTAAATTCTTTTTATATTTTTTTGATTTATTTCCAGAATGAAATTATTGTGAAATTATTTTCATTATATAGTAGGATCATTCTACCCTTACGTACCCCTCATACTCCGTCTCTTATATTCCTAAAATCACGTACTCCTTCAATTTGTGTCAAGTGTCCTTTCTCATAATCAATTAAATAAAAATTCAAAACAATATTGTTCTAGAATGCCCTTACATAAAAAATTTTAAGTAAATAACATTATAAACATTTAATTAAATACTTGAAAGGTGTTTAATTATTTCTTTTTTAACATTGAGCTTAAATATAAATATTTATATAAAATAAACCACCAAATATTCTTGAATTGCGTATCAATTTATCTAACTCAAATTTCTCTTATTTTTTTTTCGAACTCAATTTCTCTTCACTTCAAAAAATATTGAAGAAATCTTCTTCAAACAATATTTAAATCTTTACATGATTAGAACTTTGAAAGCCAACGATATTATGTGAATTTAGCCATATCAAATTCGTATTATAAATTAACAATATTGATTTTTTCACTCATTCGTGATCTTCATTGATGTTTTCGTCGAATCATGATTACAATCACTTGCGCTCACCGAGACATAAAGGTAAAACCTTTGATTTGTATCCGTATTTATTTTGATGTAAGATTTGATATTTGAAGACTAACGACGTTCTATGAAGTTTGTTTGGAAATTGGTAGTTTTTTTTTTTTTTTTTTTTTTTNCATCCGTTCGTGTTCTTCATTCATGTTATCGTCCAATTATGTTTATTTCACTCGTGTTTTGCATACATATTTTGTTTTATTGATTTTTTGTGCATCCGTGATTTACGATTAATATGGTGATGTGAGTTTGTGGGTGTTAACTTTGAGAATTCATTGATATTTTTGTTTTATCATTAACAAGCACATTACATGTTGGACGAAATGTCTACACGGAATCAGTCATAATAGCTATACAATCCATGATAATATTCTGTTAAATTTTCGATAACTTCCTTCCCCAAGGGAACATGACATCATGGTTAACCAAAATCGCTTGACTCAACAGTGATATAATCTTGTTTATTTTGTTGTAAAGGGTTTGGAGAGCTTATTGAAAGTTGTGACAAATACTTGCACTTTCAATAATCACTTTTCTACATCATAGAAGTCATAATCAAGCCTTTACAGGACGAGTAAAATGGTGCACACACTGCATACATCAGTTTTTTGACATTTTAGAATACGAACATGAGATTTAGTAAGCACAACTAATGCTAACAAATGCAACTTGCTATTACATCTGCGATTTATCTTGTTCCTTGTAGCTATTTTTATATATTTCCTTACTTGTTTTGGTGTTGAGTGTAATGCGCCATAATTGGATCGGAGTACATATGATGTTATCAGTCTATAAAGTGCAAATAATATTGAATTTAGTGGTAATGCCCCATTATAGCACTTAATCAAAAGAGAAAATGAAATATAACTATATTTTTTAAAAAAAATGAAATATAGCCATTTTGGCTTGTAAAAATACCCAATTGTCCTTATACACCTTTTTCATTTTTTCCTCTTTCCATTTTCAACTTTCTTCTCATTTCTTCCGCCCGCCCCGCCCTTCCCCTCTTTCATTTTCATTTTTTCACCCCTTTGCAAAAAGTTTGAAATAGAAATCACAGAGCTCGGCGATCCATCGATCCATCGTGTTCAATCTGCTGAGTTGCTCAATTAGCTCAATAAATCTGCATATATATAGCTATTCACTATTCACCTTCTGCGAGAAAAACCCTACCTTAGTTAGGGATTAGCTTTCTTCAACAAGTACTACTCAAAATTTCTCTTTCTGCATCTTTTTTTTACTTACTTTTCTACTTCGATCTGTGAGCTCTGGAGCTATGGACACACGCAAGAGAGATTTAGGTGTATTCGGTCCAATGTCAATGGAGGTTTTAAGAAATCTAAGTCAGGTGAGTGTATCTTTATGTCTGGCCTTCGTCATGTGTTTCGTTCTGAGTTATTCTGTTTTCGCTCTCGTGGATTGTACCGAATCAATTATTTTGCTTTTTTTTTTTCTTCTTTGGGATTTTTCAATAGGCTATGTTATTTGGGACTGCACATAAATTGAAATTGAAAATTTGGGGTGTCCCTAAGTGCAATTTACTTCAAAGTTGTTATCTTTTTCATTCATTCATTATTTTTTTTGTTCCTAGGTGCAGATCTGCATTAACTTATTGTGTTCATATATTCGTTTTTGGACGTGATAATTTGCTCAAGGTAAGGTTTTAGTATCCGAAATTATTTAAAATGTATTACTTGTAGTGTGTTGCTGTAGTACTCCAGAACTAAACTAATAGTATATATGTTCTTCTCCAAGATTAATATGTGGGTAAAAATACACATTATATGGTTATACTTAATTACTAATAGTAAGAATCGAAGTTAAACTAAAAAAAGGTAACAAATGTTGTGCAACAGAAATGGACTCCTTGACAAGTGGTATAGGAAGCAAAACAAAGCCACGCACGATGTTTTTCAGGTTCAATCTCAACATACCTAATATTAATTTTAATTTAATTAAATGTTCATTGGCATGCATCATGGAAAATTGTGATAAAAGCTACTAATACAGTAATACTTCTACTCAATTCTCAAATATGTGGGGCTGTGTGGACAGCAGTTGTGTGCTTGCAGATTTTTATAAAGAACTAATAGGAAAATAGTTTTTTGGATTTTTCAGTAAACTGGAGTGCTGCTCTTCTCGGCAATTATTCCGGCGAGTCACGGTCCATCGAGTGCTGCTCCTCTCGGCAATTATTCCGACGAGTCACGGTCCATCGAGTGTTGCTTTTCTCGGAGATTATTCCGCCGAGTCACGGTACATATTATTTGGTAATTGTATTTTTTTTTACAAAAGATAAGAAAACTGGCGATTATTCCGGCGACTGTGTGTCTATGTGTGTTTACGAGGTCTTACAAAGCCTAATTTCTGTTAAAGGGTTTGAGGTTTGGTAAGGGTATGTGAATCTTTTTAACATGTGTGTTTATGTGCTGCTCTCCAAGAGGTGTGGTAAAGGTTACGAGGTGTATCTGTATGGGCTTTCATATAATTAGTCCATGTGAAGTAGATGATGCTTTCTATGTCCCATATCTCACTTTCCCGTTTGTTTTTGTTTCATCAAATCTCAGTAGCAACTTGACAGAACTTTGTCTGAACTAGATTATTAATTGTGTTAATTCACAGATCGCACTGAAAGGATTTTGATTTTTATTTTTTTTGCCTTTTAGATTTATTTCTGATAGGCTTGACGAGCCAACGTAAAACCTAGCCGTTCTATGGAGATGAAACACATGAGAAATTAGATTTATTTCATTAGTAACCTTGGCTTGGAGAAGGTTGCTGTTAGGTCTATGTTTATTAAATTGCTGATTTCTATAAGAGATCGAAAGTTGGGCTGGAATGAAAATTCAAACTGTGAAATTGATTCGTAGGCCTTAGCTAAACATTTTTTTTTTTATTAATTAGCTAAACATTTTTATTTGTGCTTATTTGTTGATATTGAAGCTATGGTGTTTTTTAGTTCTAATTGATGGTGAGTAATAATGGTTTTTGTATAAGATTATTATTGTGCTTGTGTGCTTATACGACAACCACACTTGATTTGAGTAACCTTTTATTGGCTTTATCGGGCGCATTTATTTGGATACATAGTTGGAATACAAAGGTTTCATCCTTTCAACTTGTTTTTTTGCGTATAGTTACGTAATTGATATGATCCGACTATGTTCACCCTTATGTTTATTGTGGTGATAATGCTCCCTAATGGCTCTTTAACTATTCTTATTTAACTATTCTTAATTTTCACCTGCTACATGCCATGTTTATTGTGTGCAATGTACCCTTTTTAGGATATTTTTCTTCAATTCTCATTTTTGTAGAAATGTAATTTGAGGCATTTCTTCATTTTCTTAATTTGAAAACAGATCTTCAAACAAACCTCTTATCTCTTTGCGGCGGAGATGACATCCACTAATGAGGTATGATATTTTTTGGTGAACAAAGAGTTTTGTAGTTTATGTGTAAAAAACTTGAGTTTTCTGTTAAACTGTTTCTTCAACATGAAACATTCAAGAAACAGGTTTCTTGTGCAAGAAACAAGTTTCTTGAGCAACAAACAGGTTTCTTGAACAAAAAACAGCTGTCTTGTTCAAGAAACCTGTTTCCTGTTCAAGAAGCCTGTTTCTTGAACAAAAAACAGTTGTCTTGTTCAAGAAACCTG